AGTCTGGTAGTGATGTGGGCTCCCGACGCACGGCCGACTCTAGGCCAGTGCCCTTGCCCCCTGATCTGGGGAGGCGGACGCGAATTGGCTAGGTGTGTTTAACGTGATAGACAGTCAGCGTCAGTTGGGTGAGTTGGTTGGAAAGCTGTGGCTGAATGCACACCTTCGTTCGCACGATAGCGATGATCACATGTGGCCCGTGCGCCAGAAACGGGACGCTCATGTGCGCTCAGATAATTACAGTAGTTTGTCTACGGTACTCGAGGCCAATCACAAGCTAATTGGGCAGTCCTGGCTTGTGCATGTCTTGATTTATAACGAAGGAAACTTCAGCAGCACCGAACTCTCTTTTCACACCATTCCTGTTCCCAAAGTGGATGTGAGTGTGGTCACAGTGGCTAATGGGATCGAACTAACGTGTTTGTGCGTCACACGCATGCTGACTCCTACAGACACAAACCGACCTTCATCCGACGCGTCTCGCATCTCAAGTAAGCCACTCCCTTGTGCTCCAATTGTGTTTCATGCATTCAATCACACATCGTTCAGTCGTCGACACCGCGAACGGGGTTGACACAAACAACCTGTTTAACCTGACCACTGTTACCAACCGCACATTGGCTCGGCCGGACACCTGCGCGGCCTACTGTGGGACAAGAGGCCCATCTAAAAGTCATCAAACCTTCCCCATTGCCTGTTTCCGCAAATTTAGGCCCCTCACCCTCAGCTGTAGACATGTCAGCTTAAACCTACCCCACCACTCAGCAATGAAATGGAACATTGATAACGCACGATATAGTATTTGTGCGTGTCTGTGTGTTCGTCCTCCCTACTCCCAAGACAAACGGTCTGCACTGCTCCTGCATCTCACCAAAACAGGATCAAATTGTCTCGTGACCTGTGTCTGTCTTACTGCACCGAGTCCGCGCTAGTCTTTAAGTACTGCCGCCCCTGCGTGTGGCACGCCTTAGACGGGCGCAGACGCCACGTTAGTCGCTGCACCAAATCTTATTGCCAAACCACTAAGCCTAGGGCAGGAGGTCACTGGTACTAATGAGATGATGAAGTCCGCCCGGGACAACCTCTACGCAGAGTCAGCCAACTTGACACTACAGTGAATCCGACGTGTTTGAACCTGCCACGACGCGCTATGAATGGTTGCCTGACAGACTGCAAAATGGCAGACTGACTTTATCTTGCTTTGGAGTGAGGTTCAGGCTGTAATGGCTTCTCAGCTTTCTTTTCTAACTAGTACCTTTCTTGTCAATGCAAGCAAACATGCGAGTCCCAGGAAGTAATT